CCATCTTTGTGTCCATGGCTGTCTGCCACTGAGAGGAGTAGGGACCCTCTATCGCCTCTGCGTAAGAGCGCGGGGTCGGGATGTCTGGTGCATCCGGGTCTCCCTCAGGGGCAAGCAGCATGGACACGAGATGAGGTAAAGCAGCGGCAAAGCACTCAAACTCCTCCTGCCTGTCCTCAAGGACGTCCGTGCCAAGAGCACACTCACCCCCGACGGATGGAGGATAGACAGACTCAGACTCAGACTCAACAACAAGACTAGCGGCGTAGTCTAGACGACAGGCGGCAGCAAAGGCAACAAGCTCAGCAACTAGAGCAGACGCAGCAGTGAACTCAAACGAAGGGTCAGTGACAACAGTGGCCAGGAAACGCGAAACAGTAGGACTAGCAGCACGAAGGGAGTCAGACTCCGGGTCTGGACCGTCAGGAAGAGAGGACGTAGGAGGAGACGGCAGAGGGACACGCTGTGGAGCATTGGAAGGACGAAGTGTCATATAGTGGGTGCCGGGGACAGGAGGAGGACGCTGACGCGGAACACGACGACCAGTGCAGACAGCGCGAACAGGCGACTCAGGACGAGACTCAGGCGACTCCGGACGAGACTCAGGCGACGCAGGACGAGACTCAGGCTCACGACGCTCCGTAAGACCTCTAGTCGGCCCAGAGTAAGGAGAAGGACCAGGCAGTGGAGAGGCTGGCTATAACTGCGACTGCGACTGGACAGGCGGTGGACTCAGTAAGGGAGGAGTAGGACCAGTAGAAGGCGGGAGGCCAAGAACCTGCTGAAGGAGTGGAACGTAGTACGGCTGCGGCCGCGCAGCGCCTCCAGAAGCAGCAGAGACAGCACCAGTACCCTCAGCTCCAGGGTCTCCAGCTACAACTCCCGCAGCACCACCAGCTCCAGCACCTCCAGCAGCTCCAGCTCCAGCAGCACCTCCAGCAGCAACAGCTCCAGCACCTCCAGCTCCAACTCCTGCAGCACCACCAGCCCCAGCAGCTCCAGTACCTCCAGTACGAGCACCTCCGGGACCAGCGGCTCCAGCACCTCCAGCAGCTCCAACACCAGCAGGACCTCCAGCAGCGCCAGTACCTCCAGTACGAGCACCTCCAGGACCAGCGGCTCCAGCAGCTCCAGGCTTAGCACCCCCAGGCCCCGCACCCGCACCCGCCGGCGCAGCACCCCTAGCAGTAGGTGCTCCTCCGGTAGACCCCCTCCCCCCTCAGGGTCCTGCCCCCTCAGGTGTGTCCCAGGTAGACCCTGTCGAGCCTGTCGAGGTAGCTGTTGGCTCTGATACCATGTCAGAATAGTGAAGGAACGAATGATTGAACTAGCAAGCAGGTGGGTACAAGTAGGAAACCTAGAAGTGTTGTACCCTATATTGACTACCCCACTACAGCCTACACAGACTATGTCATATATGTTTGACGAAACTGCATGCAATGGCTGGTCCAGAATTGAGATCAGGCGGAGCAACCATGACTGGTTCTGGAAGTGGCGTGATAGTGGTGTGGTCGTTGAAGAAGCACAAGGACGCGCCGGAGTCAAGCGTGAAGGGAAGGGACGCATCACCAGTAGTCACAAATGGGCTAACAACTACACAAGCACCGACACTAGAAACACAAGTACCTACACTAGAAACACAAGGATTTAGACTAGGAACAGGCAAAGGTCCTAGCCTAGGTAAAGGCGAGCAAGACTGTAACCACGACTTAGCAAGGCGGGATAGTGAGGAGGCACCGAATGAGGTCTGTGACGCTCGCGGAAGAGGTCGTCGGAATGACGGAAGCAGTGCAAAGACGAGCGGCCGAGGCGGTCGCAAGGCCCGTCAGCACCTGGGCCGGTTTGGATCACGTACTGGCAGGGCCTGACTTCGCAGCCTCCGCGACGAGGTCCCGAGCTGGTAGGACCGCTGCTGCGGCTGACGCTCCCCAGACCACCATGTCCTCACTGCTGCTGAGGTCCCCACTGCTGGACATGTTGCTGCTGTTGATGCCCCTATTGTTGCTTCTGTTCCTGCCGCTGCACCTCCTGTTGCGTATGTGGCTGCTGGTGCTGTGGTTGCTGTTGTTGTGTCCCCGCCAGACCCCCAGAGCCAGCACCCCAGGCTTCGTATCTGTAGGGTCGGCCCCGCCTCCAGAGCCACCTCCTCCTTACGCACCAGTACCTCCACCACCGCCACTACCTCCACCGCCACCACCCTTCCCTCCCTTCTCACCTCATTTGCCCCGTTTCTGTCAATCTGTGTCAAAAACAATTGCAGCCTCCTCAGTAGCAGACAACTCAGCAGCAGCAAGAGAAGCAGTGAAGGTGGGAAGTTGGGGCACATCACACCCCTCAAAGAGATGGGGAACTCTTACGGCAGTAGTAGAGGCAACGAAGCGGGGGTTACTCTTGATCTCAGTGAGAGTGGTCTCAAGGAGTTTGATAGCAAGCTCACTGGGGTGCACCCGAAGAAGCGCTTAACATGCAGACAAGAGGCGATCAGGGAGATAGGTGATGATGAAATAGAGGGTGGTAAACATAGGCAGGAAAGTGCTAGCAAGCTTGGTGTCGGAACAGGAAGCACGGTAGCTAGTGCCAAGAGAGCGCAAGTGAGCGGCTAGGTCGGCAGTAGTGTCGAACGCACCAAGGTCGGGGAAAAAGAACGGCATGAGGAGATGAACTAGGGAGGCAGAGGAGGAATGGAATAACAAGAAGCGATAGTGTCATAACACTCCTTTCCAGTTGTGACATGGGTGAAGTGGGCGGCCTCAGTCGGCGGAAGAAGGTAAGTCAGAGCGAGGCGAGCAGTGGCATCGCGGGAATTCATGACCGGGTACTCTGAGCACAGCTTAGCAAATTTTTCCCACCCCGTCTCAGTGGGCTCACTAGAGAGAGGGGTGGGACACTGAGGAGCAGGCAGATCACCAGACATGTGGGCGAACGGAGTGTCGACGTCCTGGCGCTGGCTCCAAAGGTGAAAATGGGCATTGAGGAGCCATGTGCTAAACTCTAATGCTTGCCATTCTGCGTCAAAATGCAGAATTCTTGAAGGCGCCATGGCGAAGGAAACAGGCTAGGAATTGCGGGGCAGGAACGGCTAGGAACGGCTAGGCTAGGAACGCCAGGCTAGAAAGCGGTGGCTAGGAATTCCATGCTAGAAACGGCAGGCTAGGAACGCTGGCTAGGAATGCAAGGCTAGGAACTGCACGCTAGGAATGGTGGCTAGGAACGGTGGCGAGGAACTGCGGGCCAGGAACTAAGCTGGAACCCTAAACGGCGCCAAGGAAAAGATAGTGCGGCTTCCAGCCGCTGCTTAGAGTGCCGCTAGTGGTGGGAATGTTGTGTGGGGTAGGCACTAGCGGAGGAGGTGGCGGCTACCAGGCAAGTGGGGCGGGCTGCTAGCAGGGCGTGAGCTGGCTTGAGGGGTGTGCGCTAGCAGTGCGCGCATGCTGGCTGGCGGGGCATGGGCTGGTGGCGCGTGCTGCTAGCGCGTGTGGCTGGCTGGCGGGTTGCGCTACAAGCAGGAGGTGCTCGCGCTGGAGGGCGTGCGCTGCGAGTGCGCATGAGCCTGCCACTATGCGCGCTGGTGCGTGCGGCCGCGCATGCTAGTGCGTGCAGCTGCGTGCTGCAGCACTGGTGCGTGCTGCTATGCGCGCTACTACATGCTGCAGTGCATGCAGGTGCATGCTGATGTGCGCGCTGGCGTGGACTGCTGTATGCACTGGGGCGTGCGATTGCGCGGGCTGGCACGGGCTGCATTGCGCTGGTGCGTGCGGTCGCTCGCGCTGGCGTGCGTTGCTGCACGCGATACTGGCTAGCTGGTTGCATGGACGCTAGCGGCTGGCTAGTATTGGCTGGCTGGCTACGGCTGGCGAAAACGCATGGGACAAGGCGGGCTGGCCAACAGAAACGCCTAGGAGCTGGGCGATCTAAGGAGGTAGGAGGGCTAGGACCTAGGAACAACTGCGATGGTACAATGTCAAAGTAATGTAGCGGAATTAAATGAATTATCAAGGATGGGATACAAGTAGGACACCCTAAAAGAGCACATCAGTGTCGCCTAAAACTATAAATATAAATTGACAGGTACTTTATGCCTTCATAAGTTGGACTAATTTGAGTGTAATCTTAAATAAAAAATCTAAATATGATGAAAGGGAAATGAGGGGGGGAGAGGAGGGGCGGGGGGGGGGGGGGAGGGGGGGGTGTGGGGGGGGGGGGGGGGGTTCAAATACTTATATGTGAACTGCGGGTCTGGTTCCTTGTGGGGGATAAGCCGGAATTTAAGACCATTGGTCTGAAAAAAAAGACACATTTCATTTTAAGCTACTCCCGATAAAGTCTTCTTACATCAGACCTCAACGCGGGTTCTCAAGGTTTTGGCAAGCCATGTATGCTCCAGAACATCTTCAAAGGTGGTTCTTTACCCATGTATCTGAACTTGTTTCACTATTTGTGACAATGTTTTAACAGGCTCATAGCTTCTACTTGGTTATGTATTGAGATTGCTCAAATAACGCAATGCCTAACAGTGGGTACGTCAGATGTTTCAAATTTTGAATCTGCCTCCAGCTTCACCGTGAAGCCTCGCCGTCGCAGTTCGCTACGACAAATGCGAGAATCGTTTTCAACAGTGACTAGAACTTTAGTTGACTCGTTTTGAGCTAGGTAGGTCGTTAGGGCGTGGTAAAAGTGTCGATCTCGAGAAGATCGATCGCCTTCGATATCATTTTTTTATGGCGTTGGAGTAGGTTCTGTAGTCTTAGATGCAATACGCGTGATTACAGTGCGGTGACGGATCGACATCCAGTCATTGATGACACTTTTACCACGCCCTTAGTCGCGCTTACTTTCGTGTCGTAAGCGGGCTGAAGTGGTAGCAATTCCCGAGCTCCTGGAGCGTCCGTCCCAGTGTCGTTTAGACACTGCTTGCACAGTGTGTGCGAGCGTGGCCACGTGGGTCGTGATCCAGGGTTGACGGAATCAACTCCGCACATAGGCGAGTGTGTTCTAGCGGAATGGAGAGAGCACCGATAAAGGGACCTCTGCGGTCGCACATGAAAGAGAAGGTCCGTTCGTATCTATCTTCTAGAACTCTCACAGCAATGCGATCCTCCTCTGCGCACTCACGCTACCAACCACTTACCTTGCCACCCCTCATCTCCTCACCCCCCCACCCACACCCCCACCCCCCCCCGCCGCAGCTGCGCGTCATGTGTCTGCACCGCGTGCGCGCCAATCGCGTCCGCCTGCTCTGGGACATGCGCGCGTCTGCTTCCCCTTCCGCCTCCGTGCACGTGCCCCTCGCCTCATATTCCGCCATCCACTCCCCGCTGTCCCCCAGCTCCCTCTCGCTCTCCAAACCACAATCGCGCACCTCAACCTCCTCCCTCTCGTACTCTCACTCCCTCTCTCACTCCCACTCGCCCTCCTCGCTATCCCAGCCTGCTGTCTCCTCCGCTCCCTCGCCCTCTTCCCTTGCCGCTCTCCACCCTCGCCTCTCCGTCCAATTGCACCCAACCACATCAGCAGCGCTCGTGTGCATGGGCGCGCAGCAGCCGGGGGGAGCAGGTCGAGCGGAGTCGTGCTGGCAAGCAGACGCGCGAGTGCGCAGTGAGGGCGGTGAGCGCGATGGGGGGATGGAGCGCGGTGAGGAGGGTGAGCGCGGTAGGGAGGGTGAGAGCGATGGGGGCGTGCGGGACGGCGAGCGCATGGAGGGCGTGGCGATGGCGATGGGCGAGCGCTGGGCAGGGGAGGGGCACGCAGGCTCTGGCGGGGTTTCTGCTGGGCGGAACGAGGGGTCTAGGCGGAACGAGGGGTCGAGGGGGGCGCAGTTAGACTTGGCGCACGGGATGGGCGCGGAGGGGCGAGGGGCGCGGCCAGAGCTGCGGAGAGTGCTGTTTGGGGAGCTGCAGCGGCTGCGGGGCGGATGTGATGATGTCAGCCGTGATGGTGGTGGTGGTGGCATGGGGCACGCCACAGCGGTGGAGCACGAAACGGAGTTGCATAATGCGGTGGCAGGGAGGGGCGAGCACAAAGTGTGGGCGTGGGAGCATGAATGGTCCTCATGTGACCCGATGCACAATGGGGGCGACGGGGCAGGGGAGGTGGGAGGCGGGGCGAGGGGGCGAGGCGAGTGGGACAGCGATGAGGAGGCAGGTGGGCGGTGGGAGGATGCGGATGGCGTGTTGCAGCTGAGCGCGGACGAGTACGAGGCACTGCTGCTGGACATGCAGAGAGCGCTCTATGACGATGATGATGATGCTCATGCTGATGATGCCCAGCCGCCACCCCTCCCCTCGGGTATGTGATGCGGGGTGCCATGGTGTGCTGCTGCTGGACATGCAGACGGCGCTCTATGAGCATGATGATGCCCACCTGGATCCGCCCCGCTGGGGTATGTGGTGAGGGGGTGACTGGCGTGTTTGCGCGTGTGTGATCAAGGATGGTGCCATTGTATGGGGTGCCTGTGCAAGCGGCGTACTGGGTGCAGGTGTATGGCGATGGTTAGAGGAATGGAATGGGTGCAGTCGTCTGTGCATGCGTGCCGCATATGTGTCCGTCTGGCGTGAGGCGCACGCTCTGTGGTCTGTTCTGTGTGCTATATGCGTGTGGGCGCGCCGCAGGGGCATTATGCTTTGGCTGAGAAGGTGGGAGTGGCGCTCACTCCTTATTCGCCTTCCTCCTCTCTAATCTCACCCATCTGTCCGCCACTCTCACCCATCTGTCCGCCACCCTCACCCATCTGTCCGCCATTCTCACCCATGTGAGCATCAGGCCATTGGAGCATGGAGGAGGAGGAGGCATACCAGCAGGGCATGGAGGATGCTGAGATCGTGGCGGCACTCGCTTATCAGCAGGTACTCTCGCTTATCAGCAGGTGCTCTCGCTTATCAGCAGGTACTCTCGCTTATCAGCAGGTACTCTCGCTTATCAGCAGGTACTCTCGCTTATCAGCAGGTACTCTCGCTTATCGGCAGGTACTCTCGCTTATCAGCAGGTACTCTCGCTTATCGGCAGGTAATCTCGCTTATCAGCAGGTACTCTCGCTTATCAGCAGGTACTCTCGCTTATCAGCAGGTACTCTCGCTTATCAGCAGGTACTCTCGCTTATCAGCAGGTACTCTCGCTTATCAGCAGGTACTCTCGCTTATCAACAGGTACTCTCGCTTATCAGCAGGTACTCTCGCTTATCAGCGGGTACTATCTCTCTCCATACACCACCACACAGCCAGTGTCGCCGTGTCTCCCGGCTGCCATGTTCCTTCTTGCTGCCATGCCCCTATGTGTTGCCATGCCCCTTCCGCCTGCTCCATGCGTGTCATTAGTGCCATTGAACACCACGGATGCGTCTTCTGCCCGTTATGCCACAATATGATTTCTGTACGACCCTAGTCGCCCACTTCAAGCCAATATTTTGCCCGAGCGTACCTTCCTTGATTGTGCGCGCATGCATCTCTGCGCATTACCGCGGGGTGGGCAGGAGGCGACGGTGATCTGCCCGCTGTGCAAGGCGCGTTCCCTGCACATGCACGGCGCCACCATTGAGTGCTCCTGCGGCCTCTTCTCCCTCCACACACACCACCACCACGTATGTACTTGCTTCTCTTTGCTGCTCCACCTTTCCTCCCTTGTGCACCGTCCCTTCCCTCTGCACCCCTCCTCCATTTCCACAGCTTTCCTCCGTTTTGCCGTTCCCACTGACACATCAGTCAGGCTCACACCGTCGGAGTGCTATTGCCTAAACTCACTTTCCCTCCTCTGCCCGCTCGTCGAACCAGTGAGGCACAAGTGCAGCTGCAGCGAGGCACAGAGCAGGATGTGCTCTTAGGTGTGGTTGACGCCTCTCTCACTCGCACACCCCTCACCCGCCTGTGCCTGCACCCTGTGCAGCAGGAGGTGCCATTGGCAGCAATGACCCTTCTCTTCTGGCGAGTGTTTGAAGTGGTTGCAGCAAGGGACATGGCAGCATGTGCACGCAGGTGTACCAGTCGCCTCACTCACTCTGCATCTCCCACTGCCCGCACACCCCTGTGCAGGTGACATTGGAGCATCTGGCAGCGCGGCTGCAGGAGGTGACGTGGCAGCACGCCGTGGACTGCCCTGCGCTGCCCTCCTTCACGCTCCACAGGAGCCACAGCGTCACCGCCCTCCTCGCTCACTGCTCTGCATGCTCCTTCTTTGAATTAGTGCTGTAGCTTGCTGCAGCAATACATGAAGGGGAAACACTGGTGGAATGCATCAGTGCAGCATCTGTACTATAATCTCTCAAGCTTAGCTGGTTATTATGTGGGTACGTACGATGTTTATAAAAGCTTCAAGACTTCAAACTCTTCAAGTCATGATCCAGGCCCATAGGGCTGCCTTGCCTTGGATGGAATTAAGGGCGTATCCAGCGCGTACATTTACAGCTCACCTGACGCTACAGTTACCATTTTTCAAAGGGTAACCACTTCTATACATTTATATTCGGACACGAACACCTACGATACGTAAAACCGGTCACGGAGAACGCACGTAACAAACGGTAAGCATGTAACAAACCCCAGAATCAGACTCGCACGCGTCAGTACAAGTTCGCGAAGTCAAGGCTGACTTTTGCGAGAGTCTGGGAATCAAGCTGCCGCCCTTCTGGTTACAGAGTAGTGCTCTCGCCACTCGCGCAACTTACTGTTCGACTTGTGCTGAGAGGCGATTGTGTCTTCCCGCGATTTTTTGGACGCGAAACCCTGATACACCTGGTGTATTTTCTGCACGTGATCCGAACTACATAAACTTGAAGTAAAAATCCTAAAGTGTATGCGCTGGACACTCCATAAGGAATCAAACAAAAAACATCATTAACATAGAAAATGCAATCCCACAAAGCAGGGGATTGTCGCAATGAAGGACCCTAGGTGCAGATAGAGCCCCCAGGGACTCGTATGCAGAGTGGTTCGTAATCGGAATTATAGTTGTTCAATTCAAAGCGACGGCATGGGCTGCTGACGTTCGAATTGGCGAAGGGTAAGAGGGAGAAGAACGGAGAAGAAGAGAGATGAGAAGAGGGAGGGGGTTGAAACACGAAGTTTGTAGGGTATTCCGCTGCTGGAGGGTGTACCGAGGAACTTTGCTATGCTAAAGAGAAATGACAGGAAAGTAATGTCAGAATCTAGCAGGCAGGAATGGATGAACTATGAGAATGTTAGGTACAAGTATTAACCCTAATGGGTTATACCCTTTGTTGGCTACCCCACTAGAGATTACACACAAACATGCAGTTTTGACACACCCCCATAGGCTAAGTGGGGGATAGCAAACACAACAAACAGTCAGAAGACCAGTCAAGCAAAGGAACAAAGAAAAGCAAAGCTCAGGGTGGAAACCAAGATCACCACGCAGTCTGAGCACAAGCAAGTAGCCACAAGGCCAGTTCACATGCAGAGTTATAAAGGCACAAGCAGTCTAGTGATTACAACCTAGCAAGAGTAAGCATGCAGGAATAGATACATAGATCACAGTACAAGGCAAAGTCAAGCAGTAAGCAAGTGAGGCAGAGTAGGCACAAGGCCTAGAGCAGTGCAGAAACGCTGATGATCACTAGACCCAAGGGCCCTAGTGAAGATATCAGCAGAGTTGGCCCGAGAGGCCACGTAAGCAAGGCGAAGGTGACCACGCTGTTGCAACTCTCGAGCGAGAAAGTAACGAAGAGCTATGTGCTTCATTCTGTGCTCCTGTCTCTGCTCCCGACACAAATCAATCGTACCTTGTTGTCGACGTACAGAACCGGAGGAGAACGAGGCCGCTCACCCATGTCGGTCAGCAGGTAGGTCAGCCAGCATAACTCCTGTGCAGCCATAGCCCCAGCGTAGATCTTGGCCTCACAGCTGGAACCAAGCACAGAAGACGAACGAGTGGACTTCCACGAGACAGATTCAGAGCCGAAACTGAAAGTGTAACCCTCTGACAACCGTTGAGTCGCCTGGTCGTCGGCCCAAGAAGCGTCTGAGTTTCTTGTGAGTACAACTAAGCCCCGTCGTTTAAGCACAAGCCCCATGCCCGATGTACTGCACAAGTAACACACCCCCCTCCTAGTAGCCCACCAGTGTGTTAGAATCAGCAGGCAGGAATGATGGACTAGGTAGCATGCATGAGTACATGTACCTAACCCTAAAGTGTTGTACCCCTTGTAGGCTAACCCACTATAGCCTAGAGATAACACAAACATACAGTTTGACACACCCCCATAGGCTAAGTGGGAGATAGCAAACACAACAGACGGTCACAAGACCAGTCAGGCAAGAGAACAAAGCAAAGCAAAGCCCAGGGTGGATCACAAGGTCACCACGCATTCTGGGCACAAGCAAGCGGCCACACGGCCAGTTCACATGCAGAGTTATAATAGCAAGGCAGTACACTGATCACAACCTAGCAAGAGTAAACAAGCAGGTATAAAGATATATATCAGTGTACAACAAGAGCAACTCAAGCAACCAGCAGGTGAGGCAGAGAGGGCACAAGTCCAAGAGCTGTGCAAAAACGCTGATGATCACCAGACCCAAGGGCCTTGGTGAAGACATCAACAGTGTTGGCCCGAGAGGCCACGTAAGCAAGTCGCAGCTGACGACGCTGCTGCAGCTCACGCGCAAGGAAGTAGCGAAGAGCAATGTGCTTCGTTCTATGCTCCAGTCTCTGCTCGCGACACAAGGCAAGCATTGCCTTGTTGTCGACGTACAGAACTGGAGGAGAACGAGACCGCTCCCCCAAGTCGGTCAGCAGGTAGGTCAGCCAGCGAAGCTCCTGTGCAGCCATGGCCCCAGCGTAGATCTCGGCCTCACAGCTGGAACCCAGCACAGAAGAAGAACGAGTGGACCTCCACGAGACAGAACCAGAGCCAAGACTGAAGGTGTAACCCTGTGACGAACGCTGAGTCGTCTGGTCGTCGGCCCAAGAAGCGTCAGAGTGTCCTGTGAGGACCACTGTACTCTGTCCTCCAAGCACGAGCCCCGTGCCGATGTACTGCACAAGTAACGCAGTACCCTCTTCGCAGCATCAAAGTGCACCTTTCGGTGTCTACCAGGAGCCACGTAGCGAGCCAGAAGGCTGAGAAGGTACGCGAGGTCGGGTCGGGTCGTGTGCACGTCATCAGGTACATGAGGCAGCCCACAAGCTCTGGGTACGGACCACTCGGCTCTACTGACTCGTCCAAAGGTGGAGCTGAGAGCGAGTGGCCGGTAGACAGAGGAGTGGGCTGTGGCGAGGACCACGTGAAGCCACAGCGCTGAAGGAACTGCTGCACCATGTGTGACTGCGTCAGGGTGATGGTGCGTCGTGCTCTGTCCCGGGTGATCTGCAAGCCAAGATAGCTCCGCAGCTCACCCAGGTCAGTGCAGGTGTGTCTCTCCTGCAGCTCCGTCTTCACTCGGACAAGTGCCTCAGTGTCAGCAGTAGCAAAGACCAAGTCGTCGACGTACACGAGGATGTAGAACGGCGGCAGAGTGGTGTCACTGCGCAGAAACAGTGATGGGTCAGCAGTGGAAGGAGCAAACCCAAGAGCCGCAAGTGTCGTCCTCAGTGTGTCGTGCCACTCGCGGGGTGCCTGACGCAGGCCGTACACTGGTCGCCGTAGGCTCCACTGGGTACCCTCAGGACACGACCCAGTGAAGCCCTGTGGACGGCGCAACCAGATGGCCTCGTGAAGGCTACCCTGCAAGAACGCTGTCGAGAAGTCGAGGGAGTGCAGCTCGTAGTCACGCTGAGCTGCAACGTGTAGCAACACCCGAAGAGTGGTCATCTTCGGGGTGGGGGAGAAGGTCTGAAAGAAGTCGACCCCCTCACGCTGACTGAAGCCTCGAGCAACGTAACGTGCCTTGAAGACAGGCGGAGAACCCGGTGGCCGCTTCACCCTGAAAATCCACATGCCACTGACGATGTTCGCCCCAGGTGGGGGAACCTCGTCGACGTAGGTGCCTGTGGACTTCCAGGAAGCCATCTCTGCGTCCATGGCTGTCTGCCACTGAGAGGAGTACTCACCCGAAATCGCCTCTCTATAAGAGCGCGGGGTGGGGATGTCAAGTGCATCCGGGTCTCCCTCAGGGGCAAGCAGCATGGTAGCGAGATAAGGTACAGCGGCCGCAAGGCACTCCAGCTCCTCCTGCCTGTCCTCAAGGACGTCACAGCCAAGGGCCGTACAGCCAAGGGCAGTATCACCCCCGACGGACGGAGGACAGGCAGGGTCAAGGTCAGAAACGAGACTCGCAAGGTAGTCTAGGCGGTACACAGCAGCAAAGTCAACTAGCTCAGCGACTAAGGCAGACGCAGCAGGAGACGAGAACGAAGGGTCAGTCACCACCGTTGCAAGAAAGCGAGTATCAGTAGGACTGGACGCACGAGCAAGGTCAGACGGAGGGTCAGCAACGTCAGGAAGAGAGGACGCAGGAGGTAACGGGAGGACAACACGCTGTGGAACAGAGGAAGGACGGAGTGTCATATCGTGAGTGCCTGGGACAGCCGGAGCACGCTGACGACGAACACGAGGAACACGAGTACGGACAGCGGCTCTAGGCTCGGGCTCAAGGTCAGTGGGGAAGCTCGGCTTTTTTTGTTGATGTTGTTTTTGTTGTTTTTTTTTTTTTTTTAGGGTAGCGCGCGGGCTGCAGGGGCGACTCGCGGCTCGGCAGGGCGGCGCGCGGGCTGCAGGGGCAGCGCCCACGGGCTGCAGGTGTTGAGTGATGCTACCATTCGCATTCACGTCTGTCTGCCTCCCATCATATGTTCGTGCGTTGCATGCGTGTTGTGAGTGTGTGCAAGAATTTGTGTTTTGTGCGGTTTGGTTTTTCTGAGTGTGTGTGTGAATGTTATTTGGCTTGAGCAGATATCTGAAGTGACTCCGCTGCTCAAGAGCTTTCCGACGAACCAAGTATCGCTTCAATCGGAGCACGAACAAGAAAGTTACGAACGTTGGAGTTCGTATGCTTTTCATATTTGATTGTGGCAACTGTGGGAAGTTGTGGGGTTGACTCAATATGGGGTACAGACTTTTGGGGGTTGGGAAATTCGTCTTTTCTACTGTAGTTGCTGCCAAATGGTTGGGTGAAACCAAACCAGGTTGGCAAGTGTGGCCAAGTTGGGTTGAGGTGGATTGTGGAGGTTGGGATAGTGACAAAGGTCAAAGTTGGGTTGCCTATGGGGAAGGGAATTGTGTGGCATGGGGTTTCCT